AGTTGGTGCTCCAGTATAATCGGTACGCTGAACTCATCCAGTGAGAAACGTTCCGCGGTTGCAAAAATAAGGCGATTAAAATGCGTTAATTTTTGTGTGTAATTAATTAATCTTAATTAACGCGTTAAAGTCCCGGCCCTAATATATATATATATATATATATATATATATATATATATATATATATATATATATATATATATATGCTTTCTACGTACAGCTGCTGTCCTAAGAATAATGACTTTTTCGCTAAGCAAGAGGCCCTTTGTTACTTCTATCTTGTGAGAATGAATAACAACAGATGTATAACCAGAAGGAGCCGCAACAAATACAGAGGTTAGGTTTTACAAGTCGGGACAACAACAGTCACTTTCTTTACAAAATGATAGCTCATTTCTAGGATTCATTTCAAAGAGGGTTTTCTGCAAAGCAACACTTCAGCCCTGATTAGGGGGTATTCATGCTAGAACATGATGTTACAGCGAGAAGGTGGTGTTTTCGTGTTGTGACCTCAGTGCAGACTATGCTTTGGATACTTTCTCATCCTCCTCCAGTAAGTCTATTATTACCAACAGCTACTAACAACAAAAGCATAATCTTACTCCTTTACTCCCGCTGAAAGGAAAAACAAAAGATCATTCTGAAGACATATTACAAATTCCTACTACATTACTGAGCAAAGACTCATCTTCCAAGACTCATTTAGAAAACTACAGACTCTGATCATATTGGTTGAAAAGTAGGGAGGAGGGGTTTAGGTAACAAATGGAGCAATGTCACCAAGTTGCAGGGTCAACATTTCCACTGCACAGATCAGCCTCTGTCTTTTGTGCAGAGAAAATGCATTATTGATTGTTTAGTGCAAGCCAAGGCATTATATACCCCGAGTGATGGCCCCATCCTTCTTTCTCGTACAACGGATTATATCATGTGACGATAGTTTATTGATCAGTGCAGCGCGAAAACGTTTGAGTAGTTAATAAATTAGAACAGAAAACTAGTTGAAAACTGATGAGGTCTGAATAATACCAAACCCCAGCTGATAAACAGTTACGTTTGCTTCTTATCACACGACAGGAGGCAGACCATACACACTAGCATGTTCTTTAAATAAGCAGATGCAAGGCTAGAACGATGACTGCTTTTGTTCAGGACCCAGAGGGTTTGACTGAGCACTTCTCTGAGATCTATCAGCTCACAGATGTCCTTGTGCTGAGGACAGGGCCAGCACTATTAAAAGTTTCTCAAACACAATGGTACATAAAAATAGTTTTTGATCAAAATACTATGAAAGTGCTGACATATAGCTAAAAGCAAGAGAAGAGCAGAGGATTGAGACACTAATCTAATATAGATGCTTTGTGTCTCCATAGGCCTGTCCTTTGGGATCTATTAGAATTTAACTTGCCCTTCAGACCCCAACACTTACCTCTGGTCTATTGATATACACACAGTATCATTCCTGTGTGTGTGTCTGTGGAGTATGTTGCTGACATTAACTGGTCTTCTGTCTGTCTTTTGCTTTGTGGGAAAGAAAAAACTTCAGGGAGTTTATGTATACGACACTAATCAGCAGCCATACTCTTCACATGCAGAGGCAAAATGCTGTATTGTCTTTGTTGTATGTTGTTCTGCGGTCATGGGGGATATTCCACAGCCAGACAGGGGCTGATAATTATTTGTTTGAACACATGACAAAGTTAGACTGTCAATTCTTCCTTTAAATCAAATAATCTTCATTGATGACATTACGTAACATTATTCCAATGTCTAGTGGACTGAATGATCAGCTGGTATGCATGCCGTTGCTATTTAAAAAAGTTCCTAAAACAGTAGTGTTTCACAGTCTCATATCATTTCACTGTGTTGTCACAAATTGAGTTCATGTTCATTTTACCCATGTGGTCAGAACAAACCGCAGTGTGTAATATGGTGACGGAGTTGTGAAGACAGCAGGGAAAACTTCCAAAAAACAAGAGTGAGTGTTCCTCTGCTCCCTTTGAATGTGGGGCACACAAAGCCTAGAGCAGATGAGCTAAGTAAATGTCAGCTATGCCTCTTTCTCTCCCTGACATACACACACACATCTTGATCTTACACCCTCCCAATTGCTCATGCACTCCAGGGCCTATAATCTCCCTCTGCACCCACACACAGATCACACACACATATACGCACACACTTGGCAAATGTTCTTATTTGTATTCCTGCAATCTGGGGCCTCCGTTCTCTGGCAGACACTGATATATCAACGGCATGAATATTCATTCAGTATAGTCAGGGTGGCAAGCTCCCCCAGCCCCTTCTCTTCCTGAAAACTGGCGCACACGAACACTATGGGAATGTACACTGCAACCCTTCCACATGCACATACAGTATGTCAACACTGAACAGTTGAGGGCTGCCACATCGGGGTCTTTCACCATGAGCTAATAGACCATGTCAGAATCTGTCTATCACTCCATGCATGCACACAGAAAACGATGTCTAAAAAAGAGGTTTATCTCAGTCTCTATCTGCTGTGATTGAAGCCGCTTATCAATAATTTCCTGGTTGATTTATTGGTGCAGCAGATCTCCCCTGGTAGATTAATCACATCTGTCTAGAAGCCTTTTCTTATGTTTGATTAGCTTCTCAGAGGAGACTGAAACCTCTGAATGTGCGCCCACACACACACAAAATGCACAAGGAGCATCAGTCAGTCCTTAGATGCCATTCTTCAGCCATTAAAGAGGAGATTCGCTAGAATCCAATCTGATAAAGAAATCAGTCAATAATTGAAAAGCTGCATTACTCCACAATGATGTTGTTGACTTCACGAGTTGATCACGGCTCCCCCTCGCTGTGTGTGGGTGGAAAGCTATTAAAGGTTCTGGTGGAGGAGAGACAATGAAAGACTTCTGTCATTTTGCTTCTGTCATCTCCGCTCACCAACTTCTTCACGCTTCATTAGTCTGTGCTGGTTTTCTCTCTCTCTCTAAAATATCCTTTTATATTTCTCTCAACTTCACTGCAAGCACAATGCACACAAATGCAGTTATGCCATAAAGCTTGTTTTCAGTTAAACTTGTCCTTGTTCTTTAAAGCCTGACTTTCTTTAGCTCCAACTGAAAATGTGTATGTGTAAACGCAACCTCCTCTTCAGGTGGATACATCCTCTGCTGTTGGTAAAAGAGATGAAAAACAATAAAAGCAAGAAACTGAGATAAATAGAGACTGAGCACAAAGCTTGCACTCCAGGTTAGATCTAGAGGACGGACACAATTCAAAGATTGAGAGATTAAAGGGGCGAAATGTGAGATAAAATAATTTCCAGTGAACGTACCAAAGCTGTAGTTCTAGAGGAAAGCAAACCCAGTTTTCTGTTTACAGATTACCACCTCTGTTGAGCTTGTGTGTTTTATCACACCACAATGCCTTCACTGCGGGCCCGAGAGAGACGGCAAGATAGGAAGGAAAGAAGGCTGGAGCTGTCTACATTTAGAGGTAAACACACACTGGCCTACTCCGAAGGCCCCCTTTCCCTGTATTACTCCTTCCTGCTGTAGGTTAACGCCTTTTACCAAAGGCAACTAATATCAAATTGTGAAAATACCCATTATGCTTGGCAGACAACATTATTTCATCAATGTATTAGGTTTATTTAACTCTTATTTGGCCTGATCAACCTTTTTCTGAAGTGTCAAATCTTTGAAAGCTATGCGCACCGTGTGGTTTGATGAATGGGCGCTCACGCTGAACAAACTCTGCTCCGAAACCCAAAAAAGCTCAGTTTAACATCCTCACATTTTAGTAGCTTGTACACCTGATGCTTATAGAAATGCAGATTGTGTCGTTTTTGCAGTCGTTGACGTTCTCAAAAGACTCCACAAGGCACATTGCAGCCCTTTCTGCCAAGTGCCCGCTTCCACCGTCCTG